ATATTAATACAAGCAAGCATAATAGACCGCTGTAGGTTGCAGTGCAAGGGCTGAGAAGGCCTACCCCTCATACATTCATTCATTCATGTATTAATACAATTACTGACGTTCTGAACATTATTCATCATCCTGTTTTTTTATTTAAAAACGTTTAGGAGACTGCAGTCTGTCTCCAACCTCAGGTAAAAGCCTATTCAATTGTGCCCATTCGGTAGAGCTAGTCTCAATGGCGAGACCAGTTTCCAAAACGTTGCAAAAAGACAATGAAAAAACACAACAGGATGAAGGATAATGTCCAAAAAGTCAGTAACTGTAATAGGAAACTGGTTGTAAAATGGACAACCATGAGTCAAATACCAGAATTACACCCGTGGGATTGTCAAGGTTCCAATAGACAACCACTTCGGAAAGTCTGTGGGCCCTGAAAAGGGCCGTTTGTTCCTTTCTAGTAGGCCAAGTTTTACGGCCGTTCAGCTGGCCTGACTGGCTGGTGATGTAGTGCTGCATGCGCCAGTAGAAACAGCTGCCCATGGTGTGGTTGCTGGAGTTGTGGAAGCTGCGTTAGTTGCCTGGTCGCAGAGTGTGGTCGCTGGAGACTTGCGGCAACTACGTTGGTTGCCTGGTTGCAGAGAAGAGCTGATGACTCTGATGACTGATCGCTCTGAACTGAATGTGATCACTGACTAATGTGAGTCAAAGTCAAAGTCATGTTGCAACTGATGGTCAGTCAGTCTGTCTGTCTTGGTGTTGAGCCCCAGCTGGGGCGCCCTCTCTGACGAGAGGTGGGTCTGTCATTTGTCAGTCTTAGTCAGTCCATTGTCAGTATTGACATATACTAGGTGGTTCAAATATGACTGGGACTGATTTTTTTTGTAAACAAGCTGCACTGCGCAGCAGCTGTGCGACCTTGAGAGAGTGAAGCCACAACCTCCACCCTCCCTCCTGTTAGGGTTAGAACCTGTTCAGTCCTGTCTGGAAGTTGCTAGAGTGATGAGTGAACAGAAGGTACCGCAGAGCGTGGAACAACGCATTGTGATTAAATTTCTCGTTGGAGAAAATGTCCCATCCACTGAAATTCACCACAGACTCCAACAACAGTATGGGGAAGAGTGTCTCTCAGAGACCCGTGTGTTTGAGTGGTGTAAGTGCTTCAGAGAGAGCAGAGAGCACGTGGAGAATCAACCGCATGATCGTCGGCCGTGAACATCCATCACCAAGCCAAACGTTGATCGTGCAGACACACTTATTCGTGAGAATAGGCGCATCACTATCAAGGAACTTGGAGCAATGCTGTCCATCAGTGTTGGTAGTGTAGAAGACATCATGAAATACCACCTGCACTATCGCAAGGTGAATGCATGGTGGGTACCACGCACTCTTATGGACGTGAACAAAATGGTGCGCATGCAAGTTGCCAGTCGTCTCCTACAGCAGTTTGTAGACGAAAGTGATGCATTTTTAAAGTCTGTAGTGACCACCGATGAAACGTGGCTGCACTACTTCATTCCCGAGTCCCAGCAATCATCACGCGAGTGGCGGCATACCAGTTCTCCCAAACCCAAGAGAGCGCAGAGAAGCCGTTCAGCAGGAAAAGTGATGGCAACGTTCTTCTGGGACTGGCAGGAGGTTATCCATGTAGACTTTCTGACAGATGCCAGAACAGTCAATGGAGCTTATTACTCAGACCTCCTGGCAACAGACGTGAAGGAAAAGATCTGATCCAAGCGGAAGATATGTGGAAAGCGGGTAGCCTTCCTTCAAGACAATGCATGCCCCCATACGGACAAAACAACAATGGAAACCCTCCGGAAATTGAAATGGAACCTTCTGACACATTCGCCGTACAGTCCCGATTTGGCACCAAGTGATTTCTACATGTTTGGAAGACTCAAATCAGACTCGCAAGGCATGCAGTTTGTGGACAACGGCGCCGTCATCCAGAATGTTCGGGAGTGGATACGCCGCCAACCACAAAACTTTTTTGAAAATGGCATCAGGATGCTTCCAGAACGTTGGAAAAAATGTGTTGACTCCGGAGGGGAGTACATTGAAGACTGACATGTGCAAGTAAGTGTTTGGCAATTTTGCTTAAAAAAAAAAATCAGTCGTGGTCATATTTGAACCACCTTGTATTTACAATTTAATTCTAGTCTTAATTACTATTTCTATGTATAATAATTACAAGGCCTCTGTCAGTCCAGGCTTTGTACAGCAGATTATGCCCCATTTATAATAGTAATCGCTACCACGGCAGTCTAGTCACTGGAATGGTCGTATGCCTGACCGCCGCCAAGTTTGAGCCACTTATACTTTCTATGTCGGGCTTCACCTTGACCAATAATGTGAACATTCTCATTTTCATTTTGTATGACTTCTGCTTGTTGCCTGCATAATTTTGTTATGTAATCATACATGTATGGAATTTTGAATGCCATGTGCAATTCGCGGACCGGTGTGCGCCTTGGAAAATTGCCAATCGTGCGGAGAACCTTGTTTTGCAGGCGCTGCAATTTCACTAGATGGGTGTCTGCCACAGACTCCCAGGCAGAACTAGCATAAGTCGTTGCTGATCTAATAAGAGCATTGTGGAGGGTCAATTTAATGTTAGCGCTCAATCGTGCACTTTTGAATAGGGAATATACTCTAATGAATATTCTGAAGGCCTTGGCTTCGATCATTTCTATGTGTATATGTGTAATCTCTAAGTAACTCTCTTATCAAAGATTACACCTAGATATTTTGCACTATTTACAAATGGAATATTTTGTCCATTAAGAGTAAGAAAAGACTCAGGTGGTCAATACCCACGAGAGAAGTAGACCCCCCTGAGTCTTATCTTCATTAATTTTTATATTCCAGCGCTTACACCAGGTCTCCATTGAGCTGAGACCGCGCTGGAGTTTTCTAACAATAAAACCCTCCTTGTGATCTGTCGCATATAGACAGGTGTCGCCCGCAAAGAGGGCCAGGTGAACACCACGAGTTTGGGGGGCATCATTTAATACAAGTTGAAAAGAGTAGGGGAAAGGACAGAACCTTGTGGCACCCCTGTTTGCATTTCCCTTGGCGTTGACATTTTGCCTTCAACAGAGACCCTGAATGTACACTGAGAAAGAAAGGACCAAATAAGCTTGGTCAAACAGTTAGAGAATTCCAATTTTGATAACTTACACAGCAAGCCTGAGTGCCATGTGGTATCAAAGGATTTTTCAATGTCCAAGAACACTGCAGCCGTAGACATTTTATTGTTGAAATTAAGGGTTACGTGGTCCGCCAGCCTCATACATTGCAATGTCATGCTGTGACGTGCACAAAAACCAAACTGGCTTGCATTGAGCAGGTCTCTTTCTTCAATATGTTTTTGGAGGAAATTCAAAATTGCTTTTTCGAATAATTTTCCTGTCATGGACAGGAGGCTGATCAGACGTAAATTTTGAGGAAATTTCAGGTCTTTACCGGGTTTGGGTAAAGTTATTACTTTTGCTTCCTTCCAAGTGCTTGGAAAATGAGACAGCCGAAAGCAATGATTAAATAAATGGGTTAGATGAACCAATGGTCGCCTTGGAAGGAGCCTGAGGCATTCATTTGGGATGCCGTCAATTCCACAGGCCTGTTTTAATTTCAGGGAATTTATTAATTTCTGAACGTCACATGGTCTGATCCTTTGAGGGGGGTTTTCGTCTACGGTTTCTAGCAGAACTTTTACTCTAGCCTCCACCCACTGTTCATGGTTATCGTTGCACAGATCATGCAGGGTGAACTGAATTTCCGAACAGTCGGCAATTGCATTGGCTTTATCAGAAGGGTGAAATTTAAGTCCAGAAGAACCATGAATAGCAGTTGGTGCCCTTGGTCCGTCTCTCTTTAAGAGAGATTTTGCAATGGGCCATATACCCTGAGGTGTGACTTCAGTGTTACCTATTTTTGTTTCCCACCGTTCAAGTGCCCTTTTACGGGTCATTCGTCTGATTGATTTGGTGACCCAATTGACTGCCACTTTACACGCTGGAGCCCTGGTTTCTTGCCACAATTTTCTTATCCTCTGCTTATATTTTATCAAACGATCTAGACCAGGTAGATCATTGTTTATATCTGAAAGTGTAACTTTACTTGTCGACAACCTATATGCCGAAGCAATAGAGGCTGCAAAGTCGCATGCCGCTTTATTGGCTTCTACCCCCGAATTAATTTCTAGACGATGACATCTGACACTGATATTTTGGTGAACCACAATGTCTAACACGTCACCATTTCCTGCAGGGGAATAATGAGTGGGGCACTGTGGAGCTGAGATTTTGGAATCACTCTTATCAAATAAATCAATGAGTTTCAAGCCTGAGGGGTTTGAAACTCTGCTATTCCAAAATGGGTGCTTAGCATTCAGATCACCTGCCAAAATAGTCTTACGTCTAAAGCTTAAGAGCTCAGTGATGTCAGCATCACCCCAGGCTCTGCCTGGAGATTTGTAAACAGCTGCAAGCAGTACTTCACTATTACAAATTGGTATGCACACCCCTGTCGCTTCTACTGAAACAAGGGGTGGTAGGACTACATGGTTATGGGGAATGCCTTTTCTGCCCGAGTGGCGGTTGATTCTATAAAAGTGGTAATTTGGAATAAAAAACCTCTCGTGAGTTTTCAGATGTGTCTCTGAAAACGGCCACATCTACGTGTAGGCCTTGCAGCTGTTTACTGAGCTCATAGCGCCGCCTCGCAATGCCATTCGCATTAAATGCTATGACTTTGAGGGGCCTATGAACTCTAGTGGCCATTTTGTTTAATTAGGTTTAGAACAATTTTAGTAATGGCCATTATTTTTTCCTCCTCAGACACTGCACCACTGACCTCTGACATTATCTGCTGTACTACAGTCACTACTCTCAACATATTGTCGAGGGATTGACCGTTTACATGAGTAGCCTGAACTGACTGACCTGTTTCCTTCTGCAGTACAGGGACCAGTATAATCTGCTTCCTTGTTGGCGGTGGAGCCACTGGAACATGGCTTTCCTGAGAACGCTGTTGCTGCTCTACTGTACTGCCTTGGAGTGCCGCCGCAAAGGAGACACCTGGAGTGACGATGATTGAAGAGAACACCCTCCCTGTGGTAGTTTTGGACGTTCTCTGAGCCTTCCTTTTCTGTTGCTCCTCCTTGGCATGTTTGCAACCCCGATAATTGGTGGGATGCAGCTTTTCTCCTTCCGCTAATCGGCAGTTGCAACATACTCGGGTGGAGGCAGAGTTCTCCTTTTCTGGGCACTCCTTGTGTAGGTGGCCACCTCCGCACCACAAACAACGTGGGGGTTGCTTGCAGTTTGCCCAAACGTGGCCGAACTGCTGACAGTTATAACATTGGGTAAGCCCGTTTTGCGCTTTGTACGCCTCTACCCTGATGGCAATGTGGCAGAGGTTGGTTAAGCGGAAGAGTTCTTGGGAGGGTCACAAGGAACAAGGGAAGATTGATGGTCATTGCTCCTTCTGGAGGCGTCCGACAACTGGTTGACATTTGTTTGACGTTAATAACGTCAAAACCCAGACTCACCAGACCATCAGAGATATCCTCTGCTGGAGTATTTTGCGGGAGGTGACGGATGACAGCTTTAATGAGTTTTTCGGATTTTGAATTATAGGAAAAGTAAGCAAGATTTTTATCCTCCAGGAATTTCTTTATGGCTGAAAAGTCCGCCATATCTTTTGTGACAATTCTGGTCACACTCCTGGTGTTGCGGAACTCAAAATTGCCATTGACAAATACCTTTGATATTCCTCTGCAACTGTATCTGATTAGTTGTAGAGGTTAGTACAATGGGAGGAGGCCTACCTGACCGGCTGCAAGATGACTGCTGCTGTTGCTTGTCGGTTTTCTCCTCCACGACATCCATTTCTGTTTTCCTTAGGGGTGCAAAAAAGTTTCTTGTTATTACTTCACCCTGGGATTTTATCCTAGGGTCCCTCGGGCTAGGTGACGGCTTCGGCTTTTTCTTCTGTTCATCTGAGGTGTTTCGCTTACGCCTTCTTTGCTTGCGAAATTCCTCAGCTGATTCTTCTTTTTGTTCCAGGAGGGGCGACTCTCGCATCTCCCTGTGGATGGCAGCATAGAGGCGCAGCATGACTGTAAAGAGAGCCTTACTGTCGGGGTGCTTACAGAGCACTGTCCTCTCGGCCTCGGATTTCGTTATTAGTTTATTCCATTATTTCTTCCTGGCAGTCAGGATTACTATTTGTTAAGTTTACATGGTTCCTCTCAAAGGAAGCCACGATTGCCTTCAACCGCGTTTCACACAAGGTCGGCTCCGTCATTTCGCCTGCTTGATAGTCCGTTGCAGACGGGACGGCCCCCACCTCCGGTGCACTAGCCATGCCAGTCACTGTATAGTTTTTTGACTCTATCCTAACTATGGCTGATGCACGAGGGCTCCCACACACAGACGCGATACGATTTGGGACGATATAGCACTCGGGACGAAAGCGGCTGTTTACCGAGTGGGCCGCGCACACAGACGCGACACTCGGAACTCGGGAATCTTTGACACCCGATAACCAGCTGGCCATGACTCACACTCAATCAGTATCTATACGTACGTGAAACGACATGGGTAGCGAAATGGAACAAGTAATAGAGTTCATCAAAGAAAATGCTTTATTGTACGATTCTCGTCATCCGATGTACAAGGATTCACGTGCTAAGGATAGAAAGTGGAAGGAATTGGCTGTTACAATGAACAGAGATAGCAAGTAGAAAAATCTGTATATATTTATATAGGGTTAAGTATACAGTAACTGTGGGCATTCTTAGTGTAGGCTATGCACAAGTTCCGTTCACTAACACGAATTCCAGGGGCAGTCATCTAGTTGAAGTACGCAACAAACCGCTCTCTAATGGCGTAGCTAACGTTTGCCACCCTTGGGAGACGTAAAGGCTGGATAGGGAACATTTCTCCTTCCAATGGCTCCACTCGTAGCAGTTCTTCCCTATACTTTTTATCACAGTTTTTGAGACTTAGAAAATTATGAAGCAAACACGCTGCTGATACAATGTGTTTTATATTTCCTCCTTTCAGTTCTATGGGTCTCAAAAAAAATCCTCCACTTAATGGCAAGAATAGGCCTCCGGCAATTGGTGTATTGTTTAGTGATACCTTCTTGCCCGATGGCTCTCAGGATTTCATCAAACCTGTCAATTTTCATCCTGAAATATATATAGAACCGTTTTTCGTCCTTCAGGAGTTGAGGTATCAATGTATAAAACTCCCCCAGTTCCTCTCTTGACAAGTTTATATCATGAACCCAAGCGATTCATCTCTTTCGCCTAAAATACGAACACACATAGCAACCACTTATACATACTTAATTAGAGACTCGTTATGGAATTGTAAATATATGACATACTGAATATTTGGAGGAAAAGAACTATGCAGATTTAGTGTTCAGTAAAATACGGGATTCACCTTCGTCTTCATCAAGAGCGACAGCTAAAAGCAAAACTTCTTCCTCCAAAGACGGATCCATGAGTATTTACCGCTGCGATACCGCGCGGTCTACCGAGTGCGCTCGGTAGACCGAAATACCGAGGCGATATACCGACTGCGATAATATCGCGTTCCTCAGAGTACCGCGCCAGTGTGCGGACCTCCATTTACTGCAATGTAATTGGATATCGTCCCGTACCATACCGAGCTGAGTATCGCATCTGTGTGTGGGCGCCTTTAACCTTTAAGTCACTCGATTCACACAACCCGGCTGAATGACTAATATACATTGGCAGCAGAATAGTCAACCAGGTAAGCTGCAGACGAACACACTCCAACTCTATGATCACCGGAGACAGCTCAAAAACTCCTTCGGTAAGCGAGTGATCACAACTCAACTCTAACTCCTTCGGACTCCTGATCCTCCTCGACCGACAACTCGACCACTCTGACCTGAACCTCTTTTTCTGACCTCGACTATTGCGAGCTTTGGGCTTCACCTTTTATACCATGCTTGATGGGCGGAGCGAAACTTGCAGTTGCGATTGTGAGCGCTGATTAGCTAGCACATGTGATGATGCAAAGGTGGACTGGACAGCGAGTGCTGTATAAATACGAGCGCTGGCAGCAATGTGATTGGTTAGCGCACATGATAATCTGCAAGTGGGTTAGACGTCGAGTGCTATATAAATATGAGCACAATGTGCGGCAATGTGATACTGACCTAGGAGTGAGTGTTGTCTGTTAGACCGGCGAAACAGCTTGTAAGTATGTGGGATGTTACCATACACCATTCTTCTCCTCTCATATCATGTTTGGACTTGCTCCTCAGGCTTATCAATCTTCCTTTCAACAGGTGTTGGTGGGTAATGAACATAAAATTATTACAATAGTATTTCTGACCACTGGTTCCTAACATCTAATAAAGTTGTAGTACTTAGAGCTGACAGTCCTCCGACACGAAGTAGGAGAAGTATTGGTAGTGGCGGTGAGAGCTCCAGCATGCCAACAAGTGTGGCAGGGAATGCAGTACAGGCGTTCTCAAAAGGAAATAACTTCTTACCTCATTGTGTTGCATCGTGTTGGTGGATTAGTCTCGATGATATTCACACATCCGATGTTAAGTTTTAAGTGCCGAATGGCAGACTATTATGCACTATACAATATTATACACTTTTCACTGTTATATACACGAGGAGTTTATTTACATATTACACAGGTCTATTCTAAGGGGGCAACACCAGCAATGTCCTCATAGATATCATCTCCACATGCCTGTCCTTCCGCGTCACCACCAGATGAATCGGAGCTATCATCAGAACTGTCATCACTCTCACCGCCAACATGGAAGACGAACTCCCATCCTGCGTCCCAAAGGCCTTCCTGTGGCACTAATTGTTGCTCAATGTTCCTTACATGCTGGCACCTACGTTGCCATTCTTCTGCAGTTATGGAAGCCAATTTTTGGTCTGCCAGTTTAATGACATCATCCGTCTTAAATGTGGTATTGTTTTGAGCAACCCAATTTTTTACAGTGGCCCGTATTAACTCAACTGTGTTGAGTTCTGGGTGATACAGAGGGAGGCGTAAAATATTGTGATTGTGCTCTGCAAAGATTCCATCTATTTTATAGGAAAGGTATTTCAGTTTGAGTGGTAGGATCATATTATATATGTCTGGATTCCGCAATGATGAAAAATCAGTGTTATTGAAGGTAATAGGTGGAAGGTGATATTTTAACCAGGATATCATAAAATCTCTTCTTCAATTTGAGTCAGGGCTCTGTTTAGTTGTGCATTATGGTAGAGAGCATTATCAGTGACAAGGACAGAATTTGGGGGAAGGTTAGGAATAAGTCGCTCCTTTAACCATTTTTCATAATTGGTGTAGTTCATGTCACTGTGGTAGTCTCCTGTTTTTTGGTGGGATTTCAAGCGGACATAGGCATTAGGGATGAAACCTTGCTCTCCCCCTGCATGGATAACAATGAACCGCTGGCCTTTGGACACAGGAAAATAATCCCTGGATTGATCCATCACTCCATGCATATGGGGTGGTGTGCGATGAATTAATATAGGTTTCATCCATGTAGATGATTGGGGGCCCTCTTCCCTGTATTTTTTAATTTGCCGCAAATACTGAAGACGTTTGGCTCTGATATTATATCGTTCCACCAGTATCTAACGANTAATTGGTGTAGTTCATGTCACTGTGGTAGTCTCCTGTTTTTTGGTGGGATTTCAAGCGGACATAGGCATTAGGGATGAAACCTTGCTCTCCCCCTGCATGGATAACAATGAACCGCTGGCCTTTGGACACAGGAAAATAATCCCTGGATTGATCCATCACTCCATGCATATGGGGTGGTGTGCGATGAATTAATATAGGTTTCATCCATGTAGATGATTGGGGGCCCTCTTCCCTGTATTTTTTAATTTGCCGCAAATACTGAAGACGTTTGGCTCTGATATTATATCGTTCCACCAGTATCTAACGATTTTTTTTGTTTTCTTCCAGCGGAACCCCAGTTTCAAAATAATTTTCTTTAATGTGGAGAAACATCCCTGAAAATCTAACCTTTTCTTCAACTTTTCGTGAACTTTTTTCAGGGTAGGTCTCCGTTTTTCGACTATGTAGAAGTCATTAATTGTCCTTCGCACCACAGACTTGTTAAAGTTGTCCAAAGTGGCTAGTGGAGATTTCCTAGGTCTTTCTTTATGGGGTGTCGAAAAGGAAGTGGAAGCCCCTGATTCGATATTTTTTGCTTCTGTTATTATTCTCCTGACACTACTTTCCGATACACCTGTCGCCTTTGCTGCTTCCAGTCCTCTGTTCTTCAATGTATTTGTTGGCCCAGCCTCTTTTATATACTTATATACATTACTAACAATTTCTCTTGATTGTGAATGCAACACTTTTCCACTCAATTTACTTCGTGTAGGTGGCATGTTAAAGGAGATAGGAAAAAATGTACAAATATAAATAAACAAAAAAAGAAAATCAACGAATAAAAATAAACAATAAAATAAAATATTAATACAGTAATTAGAGAATAATACACTCAAACACGACTCCAAAAGTCAAAACTTTTTAACTTGACTGTACAAGGAAGAATGCTCTTGAGACGTCTGCTCACACTGAATGCAGCCGAATGACTAATCACAACACCCCTCAACTTTCACAAATGGACCTGCCCATCCACTGCGCAGCTTTTCCTGGACTGTCACTTCTAAATACTAGAACTTCACACTGCGAGGACAATAATGATCAGTAACACTAAACATAGACTACTCACTTCAATATCGTACAATGTGCCAAAAATATGATCTAAACAAAACTTTCACAACTTCTGGAATATTTTACTAATTTTTTAAAGGAAAGACAAGCTTATGGAATCATACCCATGTTTGTAATAAAACGAATCTGTGGGAGGACATACTTCTGGAACTACTGCTCCTACTACTACCACCACCACTATTATTACTATTGTGTTTCTATTGAGAGTAAGTCCAAACAACAGAACCTTCGAGTAACATGTCAGGAACTTAATTTTGGGATGTGTTAATGGCTAAGGAAGAAACTGTGCTACAGGGCATGATTGATACACTAACTGAAATTGGAAGGTGCTATGGCATGGAAATGAATGTGGAGAAAACAAAAGTAATGAAAATTTCGAGACAACCAACCCCAGTCACAATAAAGATAGACCAAAAACAACTGGAGAATGTGAAATGTTTTAAATATTTGGGTAGCTTGTTAACAGATGATGGAAGGTGTACTTGTGAAATTAAATCCAGGATTGCCATGGCAAAAGCTGCATTTAGCAAGAAGAAGAATCTTTTTACCAGCAAATTGGACTTAAATTTGAGGAAGAAACTAGTGAAATGCTACATTTGGAGCATAGCTCTGTATGGAGCTGAAACATGGACACTTAGGGCAGCAGATCAGAAACATCTGGAAAGTTTTGAAATGTGGTGTTGGAGAAGGATGCAGAAGATCAGTTGGACCGATTATGTGAGAAATGAAGAAGTGTTAATAGAGTCAGTGAGCAGAGGAATATCCTACACGAAATAAGAGAATGGAAGGCTAATTGGATTGGTCATGTTTTACGCAGAAACTGCCTTCTAAAAGAAGTTATTGAAGGAAAGATAGAGGGGCGGATAGAAATGACAAGAAGATGAGGAAGAAGACGTAAGAAGATGCTGGATGACCTTGGGGACAGAAGAGGATACTGTCATATGAAGGAGAAAGCTCTAGATCGCATTAAGTGGAGGAATTGTTTTGAAAGAGACTGTGGACCTGTCGTCTGACAGATTACTGATGATGATAGGCTCTACATTAAATGAATGCTGCAGTTGGGGCTAGCTGAATCAGTTTTAGTATTACTGCCACCATTTTGAAAAGTATTTATTGTAATGAAGTGGCTGATATACTGTAATTTACAAATTGTTTATACTGAGGTTTTTAATGAACACAATGCAAATTCTTTAAACAAAAAGAATTCTTGTTTTATACAAAAATATTTCTGTATGAACCACTGTATATGTACCTGTCTTACACAGGAACACAAAATTATAATATATTACCAATGTTCAACAAAAGTCATCAAGAACTGCCAGTTTGCGTTTCTTATGGTTAATGACCATTTCCGCTGCTGTGATCTGACCTGCTCCCTCACTGAGCCAGGCATCTAGCTGTGCCCGAGTCTGATGTCCTTCTCGGAACAGTGCCCTTTCCAAAGAATCCAAGCGTTGTGTTACTGCCGGGTCTGTCCCAGAGTTATGTGCCCAGTCCATTACTTGACGAAATCTCTCCTTGAATGTCTAAAAAAAAAGTGCTTTAAGCTACCATCACAGTTTGTTTCACTCCTGAAAAATTACTTTTCGAATTCTAAGTTCATGATGAAAGGGATACCTTAAAAAGCTGACAAATATTCGGGTAGTAAAAAATTCCCTGCTTTCATGGAACTTGGAGGCTCACACTAGTGTAAGCACACTGCTGGACCCTATTTCAAGAGTACAGTTCAGTCCATCATAACACACCTTATTTTTGTAGTAGACACCTGATATGTCACTAATGGCTAGACTTTGCAAGTGGATTTTCCATTCAAGTTTTCTAGAGTATGCATACACACATTTCTAACTCAATTCTCATTTCACCCAACTGTCAACACAACAAATTCATAATAACCAATGTTGCTGTATTGTCATTCATTTTATTATGTATACCACTACATGTTTCGCTCCAGCTGGATCATTATCAGGCAATTTCTCATGAAATGTACTATTTGTTATTGAATTGTATTTGTATGTATTTCTAATGTGGATCTGTATTAGTAATCATTAATATTAATTTAATTACAATACTTGTGCTTCATTACTATATTTCTATCTGAAGTGGCTTAACAAACTGGTTCACTTGGTTGCTATGCTGTTATTTTGTTTCCTTGAAGAACTGATCCTGTATAAGGCCTATCATTACACAATACACATCATCCTACATTTAGTGGTACCAGTCACATACATAACCAAAGTTTACACAGCCACCATCTTGGCACTGTTGATGTCAGGACGTTAGAAACATCAAAATTGAGAGGATTTAAATGGCATGCTTTTCACACTGAGTTTCACTACAATTTGGCAGTTAGTACCTATAATACTGGTGATCAATACTGAGAAAGCACAGTAGTGCACAGCTCATTAAAAGGATTAAGCAGAACAGGATTCCAAACATACCTGTACTAGTACAGATCCAATTTCTGTTGAATCCCGGTGTTCTAGTCGAGAGAGGTAAGCACCAAATTCATAAAAGAACAAACCAAACTTATGAAGGTCAACAACACATGCATCTGCTTTCAGAATTTCCCTGCAAAAATAATGAAGACTTACCACACGTTACTCATACTTTTAAAACAATACTGCAAGGAAAGTTTATAGCAGTAAACTTCACTTTATTTGATCACATTTCTTGCCTTCATGTTCACATCTGAGGAAAAAATCCACAGAAATATCACACAGATTAGTTACAATTTACCCTACTCAATTAAGGAGATCTAAACCGCTGCAGTAGGCCAGCCAAAGCCATCATATTGCAAAAATTTAAAAAAATTACACTTATTCCACCTGTGTAATTTTCATTCAAGTGTTGTAAAAATATCGCGTAGTGTGTACAGCCATCACTAGGCAACAACCGCAAGACAAGCAAATATACCAGAGCCGTTACTGGGTAACACTCACAAACAACCATACGTATCTTCACATCAACTAATGAACATGCAACTGTTGGAAATGGCGTTTTCTATAGCGGTCCATGGCGAGGTGATATAAGTGGGCCGAAGTGAAGACTTAGTGCACTTCAGGGATATTTACTAGCTGGTAATGACGTAAGCAGAGGACAGTGTTAAGATCTGTTACCAGGAAAAGGCTAGTGAAGAGTGAGAAGACTTCATGTGTGCTGTAGTAACAGTGATATTTGGAGTGTGTGAGACTGTTATAATTACCTGTAGTTATGAGTTGCAAGTGGTCAACAAATCCAGTTATCCAAAAGCCTTTCGAGAGTCACTCACACACATCACAATACTAATCCAGCTACATGTTCCATGACTTTCATCTTAGAAATAAGACATGAAAATAAAATATTTTCAACTGAGTAGCAGCATGAATTTTTAATAATTAATATACTGTAGTGTGTACAGCCGTTACTATGCAATGACCATGAGATAAGGAAATATACCAAAGCCGCTTCTAGGCAACAGCTTGGTAAACAGCCTCCACAGTAAGGAATCAATGTGCAACAACAGAGGCACTGTTGGAAATGGGGTATCTACTTGATCTGTGCAAAGGGGTTTACATTAAACACTTTACGTAAATATCATCAAAATATGCCCTTACAGGACAACAGAAATGAATGAATAATATGAATCCTGCTACATGCTACATTATTTCAACATTTCCAAAGGTCCATGCTCTCTGCAAATGCAAAGAAACAAACACTAGAAGGAAACATACATATACAAAATGGCTCTCATAATTACAAGACATGAAAATATGTAAGTGTTGTTGAACGTTGTGTTGGGATCATCTGATGATTAACACCATCAGACACTGACAGTAACTATGCCATGTAACTGCAAACATAAATAAAACTGGTATTCATATATACACTATGATGTCTCTTAAATTTTGCCTTCAGTATAAAAAAAAATCTCTACTCTCGGTCCTACCAGATTTTTCAAGTGACTAATTATGTAATTTTTTCAACATACTATGCACAAACATATCTTTTAACAGCTTATATTGCAATGAATATAACATTCTGCCATGCTGTTACAGTAAACTCTCCATTATCTGGCATGTATAGGGAACTTGATGTGCTGATTACATGAATCTGCAAGTTGCATGCAATAAACTTCTATAGAAACCTAATACAAAGTCAAAATGACACATTTTTCACTCCAGTTCTTGTGTGGGAGTCTTCCCAGGTGACACAGTGGATTGATGGGTGAAGGATTTTGGATATTTATACTGCAACACAGTCACAAATTAAACTAGCCTCTACTACACTGGCACCTGCGTGATGGAGGGCGACCAGTAGCATTACTGTATACCTGATGTACACTACCATGAACAACTGACCTATATGCTTCTTTGTATATCTTTGGTATCTCTACTTTAACTATGTTGCATCTTCGAGAGCACAAAGACTGTGCAAGCCAGTAAGGAAGTTCAACAGTAGTTCCTACTGCAATGTCTTCATTTTCTGAAGATGGATCCAAGAAACCTGAAAACAAACACAGTATGAACACAAGTACAAAGCAGGCTAGTGTAATGGTAACACACTTGGAAGGAACTTGGTAGTTCTTAAGATTAATGTACTGAAGGATCTTACAAATATATATTGCTATTACTTACGGGTTTCTTATTAGTTATAAACTTTATAATGTTTGATTTGTCAAAATCTGAAGTGTGTTTATTATCCAAGAGTATGAACACTGATAATATCATAAAAATTTTTCATTGGGTTCTTAGATTATAATATGACTAAAATAAGAAAAGAGAACAGGTTTATAGAGGTTGAAGATCATTAGTATACACCAGAACAAGGAGTTCTAGGTGGAAATAATAAATCCTACTTTCTTATTGTGCACTCTTTATAAATTCTATAAATCTAGTGTTACTAATGTCTGATTTAGATACTGTAAACTAATAATCCATCTATAAAATTAAATTCAGCTCATGGGCTAGCATGCTGGACTCATTCATAGATGTTCTTAAGACTGGATCCCAGCCAAGTTATATTATTATTATTATTATTATTATTATTATGCTGATTCCTTATGCTTGCCAATATCTCCATAATTTATTTACATCCATAAACTGCTATATAAGTACAATTTGACAAGTCAGTTTAAGCCATCTAAAACACTACAGCTCAACTTGCTTACTTACTCATGGAGCTGAGCACTTCTTGAGAACACTGATATATTGGGTTTCTGGACTTTATCCATCGTCCTAGTTTTTAAGATAACAAAAAACACGACGTTTTGGAAACTGGATCTGTTTCCGTCCTCAGGTGAAGGAAAAGGGGAACACCTATTCTGTTGGGTCCGTTAGAAAGAGCTAGCCTCAATCACTGGGTCCAGTGATTGAGGCTAGCTCTTTCTAACAGAATAGGTGTTCCCCTTTTCCTTCACCTGAGGACGGAAACAGATCCAGTTTCCGAAACGTCGTGTTTTTTGTTATCTTAAAAACTAGGACGATGGCTAAAGTCCAGAAACCCAATATATCAGTGTGTTATACACCATCGTCAGAATCCTATAGTAACTACTTCTTGAGAAGCCAAATCTGCAGCTACTCAAGAATATCCAAGCATTTTATGGAACCCGAAGGTTCATTACCATGTTCACAAGAGCCCTCCACTGGTCTCTATCCTGAGCCACATCAATCTAATCCAATCCATCCCATCCCATCCTATCTCTGTAAAATACATTTCAATATTGTCCACCCACCTATACCTTCCTCTTCCTAGTGGTCTCTTTCCTTCTGGCTTTCCAACCAATATCCTATATGCATTCCTCTTCTCCCCCATTCGGGGAACATGCCCTGCCCACGTCATCGTATACTACAACTCAACAACTATTAAAAATGTACAAAATGATACACAAGACTAAGAACAATACAATCATCTTAGAATCATTGTCTCCCTGCTGAAGCTAGCAACAGAGGATGACATCACCCAACAATTCAATATAAACCAACACATACACTTTACCACCGATATACATTCACACCACATCAGAGCCAACCCGAGCCACCAAACTACCGTCCATCATTGTTACTAAAACCTCTTGCAGAAAATAAAATGTTTTGTTAACTTTTTAATTTATTTTTAAAAACTTTAAAATCTTCTATTCTTTTTAATTCAGGGAGCAAGCTGTTACATATTGTAATTCCCATTTTAATTACACTTATTTTGCAACAAACAGAGTTGCATGTTTGTATGCATAAATCCTGTTTTTCTTTAGTGTTATACTTGTGAATGTCAGAATAATGTATGGCAGCCACAGGGGATAAAGCAATTCAACAGTGCTGTGGCCAAGATTTTGGATGTGATCAGAATTCTAAGTCCCAGTTCCTTTCATTATATGAGTATACTTTAATTTATCAAGCGTTACAAATATATTAAAGTTTCAGTGGCTATAAATTGTGATGACTTCCTATCTTCTCAACTCAATACGCACAGCAACTACTACTAATTTAACTTGTCTCTTTATTTATTTATTTATTATTTGAATGTATATCTTGGTGGTGTATATCGTATATCGTAGTGGTGCGCCTCTGAAGATGATTCTTCTGAATCGAAACATGTAAGGTGAATGAGGGCTGAAGTGTTGTAAACTCGTATGTCACACTGGACTGAACTTTTCATTATCTACTCTGTAGCAACTACTACATTCATACTTTCTTGATATTAAATAACAGCAACCTGGGTCAGTGTCATTAATGAATTATAATGAAGGCTATGCCTGTAACTTTTCACAAAACATACAAGCTGCTAAAAGGCGAGGGAAAGTCAAGAAGAGAAATCATGTACCTACCTAGGCGATGAACAGGAACCACAAACTTGCATGGTAGCCTTTCCTGCGTGGCAAATAAGTCTTCAATTGAAAGGTAATGGGATAAACTACCAAAATTCATTACGTAATTTTCATTAAAACATGCACAGATTATTTAGTCTCAATTAAAACACTAACACCACATTTTACACTTTCGCACCCAGTATCCGCCGATCCCGCCAACCGTTGTCGATTGTAATCGACAGAGATCACTACTAGACGGGGAGCAGGGCACAGCATGAACATATATGCCATCTACTGAAAGAGGTATTAACCCAGGAGGTTTGACTTCTCCACCGGCCCGTGCCCACCGGAAGGACCGGAAGTATGTAAAATATAGATTTTCTTTTTTACTAAAGAGGGCGAAGGGATCGAGAAACGTGTGAAGCAAGTAAAGTATGTGGGAAGGAAAAACCATAGAAGCTACACGGTGTTCTCCGTGTTATCGTCACAGACGGTCACAGATAAGCTGTCAATAGGGTCAATAGTGATCATACAAGTTACAAGACAACGTTGGTGGCATGGCTTCCATACGGAAATTTATAGGTTAGCTGTCACAAGTTTGTAGTACACAAGTACCAAATCACGTTTTTCACATGCATGTTATCACTCGTGATAGTTTCCCTGTAAGAAATCAAGAATTATTTAGTATTTTACACTGTTTTATATAAATCAATGATCATGCAGGCGCAACCTCACGCGAAGGAAGAGGGCTAGACTTTTTGAAGCTATGTTATCATGAATATTGTCTCCACTGTTGAAGGATTTGAACGCAATGATTTATCAGCTACACGCTTTCTAATGATAATTTCGTCGCAGTGTTGGCAAACCAGCCCGTCACAGCACCAGTAATCTCTGGCAGTTGAAAACTATCCCAAACACCATGGGATAATCAGAACGGCTAGATCTGAATTGAATTGAATTGAATTTATTTACATTCTATAAATCCTAAGTAGGTTAGTACCTTTGGATACAGAACAAGTCAAAAGGTTACATACATAAGTACAGGCAATTTTACCTTAAAATTAATATAACTTAATTTTACATCATTCTCTATTTACATTGAAGTATTCATCTAAAGAGTAGAAGGAATGAGCATGTAGATAATTCTTTAACTCTGATTTAAACTTTGTAGTATCATTGCCCAAGTTTTTAATACTTTGTGGCAGATTGTTGAACACTTTTATGCCAGTAAAGTAGACTCCTTTTTGATATACTGATAAAGTTGATGAGGGTAGGTGGAAGTTATATTTTTGTCTAGTATTCATGTTATAGACATCAGAATTTAATTTGAATTTATCTTTGTTGTAAACAACAAATAGGAGAAGCGATAATATGTATTGCGATTGAAGCGGTAGAATTTTTAATTTCTTAAATAATTCTCTACATGAATCTCTACTTCTACATCCTGTAATGATTCTTATTATATTCTTTTGTATTTTAAAAATTATTACACTATGTGAAGAGTTCCCCCAAAATATTAATCCATAGTTCATAATAGAATGAAAGTAGGCATGGTAAACCATCTTCAATGTTTCCTGTGACATAAAAGGCTTAATTGATCTCATCGCATAGCAAGCTGCATTTAATTTAGGTATAATTTGTTCAATATGTATTTTCCAAGACAGTGTACTGTCTACATGTATTCCAAGGAATTTTGTATCAAGTACTTTACAGATTAATTTGTTGGCATAACTGATGTCCAGATCAATTTGGTGGTTGTTTTTAGTTGTGAATGATATGTAATGGGTTTTATCAAAATTTAATGAGAGTAAATTGGCTTCGAACCATCTGTTTAAGGCTTCAAATACAATATTTATGTCATTTTTAAAGTTGTCAAATTTAGAGTTCTTAAATATTATACTAGTGTCATCTGCATATAGAATTGGTTTAGATTTATTGTTGATGGTTTTAGATAGATCATTTATGTAGAGAAGAAAAAGTAAGGGACCTAAAATTGATCCTTGTGGAACACCGTGCTTTATAATTCCCCAGTTTGAAAATGCATTATGACTGGAGTTTTTATTATTTATTTCAACTCTTTGATACCTGTTTTTGAGGTATGATTTGATCCATTCATTAGCTTTGCCAGTTATTCCATAGAAATTTAATTTCGATAGTAAGATATCATGATTAACACAATCGAAAGCTTTTGCTAGATCACAGAAAATCCCTCCCACAATTAATCTGTCATTGAGAGCACTTAAAATATCGTTAGTTAGTTCATAGGTTGCTTTTTCTGTTGTTAGGTCTTTCCTAAATCCAAATTGCTCTTTGACTAATATGTTGTTAGAATTTAAGTGTTCAAGTAGTCTATTATACATAACTTTTTCAAAGACTTTTGAGAATGAAGTCAATATGGATATTGGTCTGTAATTAGAGATGCATTTTCTCTCTCCTTTTTTAAAAAGTGGTTTCATTACAGCGTATTTTAAGCGTTGAGGAAAAGTACCTGATGATAAAGATTTATTACATAGATGATTCAAGGGTGAACTGATGTAAACAGAGCTTGCTTTAAGTAATTTGGTAGAGATTTCATCATATCCATGTGAATTTTTGGGCTTAAGGGATTTAATAATGTTTTCAATTTCCTTCCTTGTTGAGAATTTGAGATTGATATTTGGAAATGAATTGTTAAAGGCACGAGACAGATAGTATATTGGATTATTATTATTATTATTATTATTATTATTATTATTATTATTGGAATATGTTTTCTCAGCTAATGAAAGGAAATATTCATTAAATGCACTTGCGATAGCTTGTGGATTGTTAGTGGACTTCCCTTCAATATTCAAACTTTGTACGTCTTCATTAACAGATTTCTTTCCTGATTCAACTTTCACAATATCCCAGGTGGTTTTAATTTTATTGTTTGATTTTAGAATTTGGCTGTTATAGTTATTCTGTTTGGCTTCTTTAATGACTTTTGACAAAATTTTACAGTACATTTTGTAGTGACTTTTTAGTCTTGGATCATTACTGTCCCTACTGGCCAAATATAGTTGTCTTTTGTGTTTACATGAAGTTTTTATTCCAATTGTTATCCAGGTGGATTTGTTTTTATTTTCATTTTTGACTATTTTTAAGGGAAAGCTTGAATAAAAGATCCTCAAGTATGTGTTCAGAAAGCAATTAAATTTAGAATCAATATTATTGCTGTCAAATACATTGTCCCATGATTCATTACTTAATTTTGTGACAAAATCTGCCATCGTATGCTTGTTGATTTTCCTTACTGTTTGATATTGTTGATTACTGGGCTGAAGGTCAATATTATTTATTTCTATGAGTTGAGCATCATGATCGGATAAGCCATTTATAAAGGGTCCTACAGTATAGTCTCTTAATTTTGAGTTATCAATGAATATATTATCTATCGCTGAACTAGAATTATTTTGAACTCTTGTGGGAAAGTTAACAGTACTGGAGAGATTGTAAGATGATAACAAAGAGTCTAAATTTAGTTTCCTATTACTGTCGATGAGATAGTTTATATTTATATCACCACAAATTATAAATTCAACTTTTGAACTATGCAGTACATTTAGGATGGTTTCTAATCTATTTATAAAGTGATCGAAGTTTCCAGATGGGGCTCTATATAAAGTCAGTATACAAATATTAGAAAAAGGAGAGTCTAACTTTAGAGCACATGCTTCCAGATCCTGGTCTTTGCAATAATCTTCTAAATTTATTTTAGTAAATTTTAGGTTTTCATGTACAAAAATACTCACTCCTCCTTTCTCCAGTGTTTTCCTACAGTATCTAGCACCTAAATTATAATTTTCTAAGTGAAGATGTTCTAATTCCAGCTGTTTCATGTGATGTTCAGTAAGGCACAGTATGTGTGGAAGATTTGAATTCATGGAGCTTATTAGTTCATTTGTTTTGTTTCTCAATCCTCTTATATTCTGATGGAATATTCTTAGTACTTTATTATTCACTGAATTTAGTAGACTGCAATTACCTTTTCCGATTTCTATTGGTTCACTAACATTATTGTCTGAAAGATTAGTTTCTTTTGCAATTTCTTTTACTTGATAAACTTTACTTGCACTCTTTATCCTAAAAAATGATTCTGAACACCCATGACAACTGGAATGTGTCTGCCCTTAATGCTCTCTGCAATGAGTCGCGTCAGCTTGTCCTTGCCTCGAGGATTAAGATGCAAACCATGGACAGTATGTTCGCTCCTCAATATTGAAGAGACATCAGTCGCATCAATGTGGGCCGCGCCGACCTCCACAAGTGAACGCTCCCTTACACACCTGTTAATCCATGGCTTGTCATGTCGCAGAAAAGACCAACAAACCTCACATTGGTGTGACTAGTTTTCTGGGCAATGTCACTTAAATCTTTCTCAATTTGATAATTGAGGTTTCTCTCCAAACTGTTACCTGGCCCATCTCTTGTGTTTTGGCGACAGGTCGATTAGTAATATTGGTTTTTCGAAGTTACGTCAAGGATAAAAAAAGTAAGCACAGTGATTAGCTCCCCCAGATCTTTCTAGACCAAAACGTGAATCAATCGCCTGTATCCTGGTGAGTAAAATTAACGAAGGGTGTGAACACTGAATTCCAAATGCAGCAGAATAAAGATACAAATTCATTACTGCAGATATCCAGATGCTAGTGAATTGAAGCGCAATATCTCATAATGCAGCCCTTACCTCTTTCCTAGCACCATTATACTTGTAGAGTGTTAACTTGTGGGCACATCGAAATGTCCCCTAAACAGCAGAAACTGAAATATTAGTTGGGGGGGGCAGGAAGTTATGATGACAGTACAAATATTTAGTAGCAGAAGTGAAACATATTTCAGCAAAAAGACGCAAAAGTTACATATAATATAAGTCTGCACACAGGATAAATAAGAAAAATGGTGTGAGAATTTCTGTATACTTTGTTGTGAAATGAAGTGATATAATTTCTTTGCCACTATATCCTAAATATCTGAAGCTCTGAATGTGTTAGTACCTACATAATGCAACTTTGTCTCTTCAGTTCTGATTCCACTTTATTCTTTCACTGTGACAGAATAATGGAGCACATTTGATATGAAGAGGGTATTCTGGGAATGTTGAGCACTTTTCTTTCATGTGTTTATAAAGCACTTTGGAAGTAACAGTGAATTATCTTCCTTATATGGTAACCCATATACATCATAATTTATTTTGCCATCAATTTATAAAAAATTAGAAGTGGATTCACATGTCTAATCATACCTGATTTGATAAATTTTGTTTTTCTCACTTTTTTAGAGTTAAAAATGTTAATCAAGATTAAGCATAATAATATTCTGATTTTGATCCAACATAAATTTTAAATGGAGTTGAAATTATTTTATGGCTGCAGTACCTGCCTCCGAAATAGAATCCCAGTATAGAAAGAAAGAAAAATTTTCTTGCACCATAAAACAGTATTCTTTAAACAAAATGTTCAAAATGACATCAGGATCATGAAAAGTTAAACAGTTCCTTCTAGTGTGACTGGTGAAAATTTTTCTTATTTCAATTATTTATGCCCTTACATGTTTCAGTCTTC